ATTTGGAAGAGAGGGGAAGCAGACGATGTGAAACGAGGAGGTGCAAAGGGCAAGTCAGCTAGCTGCTAGGGTTATGTTTTTTGGCAAACGAACGGCGGTAACTATGATCCCTATCTCCCTCCCCATATTGTGGTAGTTGTATAGAAAAAAAATGAGCCATGATATTCTACATGCATAGGTATCTCGTGCATGTATCCACCGCTCATCATTGCTTTGAGATTCGTGTTGTGTGTTTTTTAGTTTGTAACGAAGATTTGTTTTGTTTCATAATTTCACACAATTTACAGCGGGTCCTTTTTCTCTTGTCGAAGTGAATCATAATGTTTTATTCTGTACCATAAACAAGTGCACCCTTATTTGTTGATACACAATGAGACATCATGATGCACTTGCAATAAGAAAATAAAACCCAGCAAAACATCATGTAATGTTTTACAAATTCTGTCAAAACTCAAAAGATCCCTTGGGACAACAATGGTCCTATCGAGTCTATCAAATTATACACCGTGTTTCAGTTGTCTTGCTCACATGCATGCATATTACCGAAATACTTTAGTTGGAGGAAACTAGTACAAGTTCCCTCAACTATAAATATTTCGGTACATAGATAGTATGATTATTACCGTGCCGTGGATAGTCAAAACTTGCAGAGACGTACGTGGTGTGGAGGTGGGACGTCTACTTCTCCGGCGTGATTGAATACCACGATCGGTCGCAGGAGAAGGCTGTTATGGCCTATCCACAGGTAGCTACGAGGAGAAGAACAACCTGCTGCACGATTGAGACAGTGACAACGTTAACACACGTATGCCAATTGAACACGAAGAGCTCATCCATTTGGAAGACTAGACCTGATTTGGACACACAAGCACAAATATTGCTCCAAGTTCAGTGCACCGCAGATATGTGTCGATGTATGCATATGCTTTTTCGCCTTCTACCCGGCTTGGCTGCTTATAAAGCAACAGAGCTTGTGATGCAAAACCTGATAGAGCAACCGAGCTCAGCATGGCAAACCTCGTGCAGGAGCTCATGCTAGAGACTCCACCGCGGGCAACGGTTCACTGGTTCACCTCCCCCTCCTCCTCTTGTCTCTGCATCACTGGTTCACCAGAAAGACAGGATCTACAGGGCAGCGCCTCCCGCCTTCGCCGCCGGCGCTACCCATCATCGGGCACCTGCACCTTGTTGGCGCCCTCCCACATGTCTCACTTCGGAGCCTGGCCAGGAAGTACGGCCCGGATGTGATGCTCCTCCGCCTGGGCGCCGTGCCGACCCTCGTAGTGTCGTCGCCTCGCGCCGCCGAGGAGGTGCTGCGCACGAACGACCACGTCCTGGCATCGCGGCCCCCATCCGTCGTCCCCGACATCATCATGTACGGCTCGTCTGACATCGCCTTCGCGCCGTACGGCGAGTACTGGCGGCAGGCGAGGAAGCTCGTCACCACACACATGCTCAGCGTTAAGAAGGTGCAGTCTTTCCGCAGCGGCGCCATGGAGGAGGTACTGATTTCTAATGATCTTGCAATTTTCGCCGCTCGGACAGACTTTTCTTTCAATGACTTTGCAATCATCATTGTCACACTCATTTGGCCAATCGACAGTACTACATCAGACAAGAAACAAAGGAAACAATGACTTCCATGTCTCTTGTAAAAAAAGGACTTCCATGTGTTCCATGTCTCTTGCAAAAGAAATGATGACTTCAAAGTTTCCCTCTGATAATTAACAGTTACATATATGATGCTAGCTTCTCATAATTTAAGACCCATGCTATCATCTCATAGGTCAGCATGGCAATGGCCAAGATCAACGAGGCAGCCACAGCCGGTAGTACAGTCGACATGAGCGAGCTGCTCAACTCATTCTCGAATGACATGGCATGCCGTATCGTGTCAGGCAAGTTCTTCCTGAAAGATGGGCGGAGCAAGTTGTTTCGGGAACTCATCAACGACTCCTCGCGGCTTCTCGGTGGGTTCAACATGGAGGAGTACTTCCCAGCATTGGGTAGGGTAGGAGTGCTTAAGAGGGCGGTTTGTGCCAAGGCCGAAAGAGTGAGAAACAGATGGGCCGATCTGCTGGACAAGGTGATCGATGATCGTGTGAGCAAGCGCAAATCAGTGTCTGATCACAAGGATGGCGATTTCGTAGATATTCTACTGTCTCTTCAGCGGGAGTATGATCTCACAAGAGAGCACATGAAAGCTCTCCTCACAGTAAGTACAGATTACCTTTCAAATTATATAGCTTGATTTGTATATGTCTCTCCGTATCCCCTAACTAATTGTTATCCACAGGATGTATTTTTCGGTGCAACAGACACGTCAGCTAACGTCCTCGAATTCACCTTGGCTGAGCTCATGAGGAGGCCACACTTCATGGGAAAGCTACAAGATGAAGTGAGGAGTATCGTACCCCGGGGACAAGAAATTGTGAGCGAAACTGAATTGAACAACATGGTGTACCTACGAGCAGTAATAAAAGAGTCTCTCAGGCTGTATCCTATTGCACCTCTCCTTGCTCCGCACCGTGCCATGGCTGACTGTACCATCGATGGATACATGGTTCCTGCAGGGACGCGTGTCATCGTTAATGCATGGGCCATTGCGAGGGATTCGAGCTCCTGGGAGGATGCTGAAGAGTTCATACCTGAAAGATTTACAGATGAAGGCAGTGCTAGGAATGTCAACTTTAGGGGGAATGATTTTCAGTTCTTGCCATTCGGTGCAGGACGAAGGATATGCCCTGGTATAAACCTCGGAATCGCCAATGTTGAGCTTATGTTGGCAAACATCGTGAACCATTTTGACTGGGAACTTCCGATTGGGGTTGAGAGAAAAGATATCGATATGACAGAGGTGTTTGAGATAAGCATTCGTAGGAAGGAGAAAATATTGTTGATTCCAAAGTCACGCATATGAAATCGAGCTAAGCTAAAATTTTTGTGTTATCAGTGTATAACAGTGTTCTTGGGAAGAAGGTGTTATCAGGGAAAATGGTACCAATAAATAATGGCCAATTTTTCCAATATTGCTGTTTAGAACGTTGACGATCGTCAATGCACATTTTTTACCACTACTTTAATCATCACATACATATGAAATAAAAGAGAAAAAACATAATGCTGAAGTACTTTTGAAGTAAACTAGCATGGTTGCCTGCACAAATGCACGCGCAACATGCTTGCCGTCTATTGCTTTTGTGATTCACATTTCTTATTGTTATCTTATACAATATAACATCCATTGGGACAATACGAAATGAAAACTCACATGCTTAGTAGATCGTAAAAATCATATGCGTGAGTTCTGCCACAAGAACTCTAAATCATACCAATACCAAGGACAACAAATCTCTAAACTTGTAAACAGCTCTGGAAAAAAGAAAACCAGCACATATATCGTACACGCATCTATCATGACACATATTTTCAGATTTAAAGTTGATTCACATCTCGGGAAACAAAAACTAATGATACAATCTTCTATATCTAAATAGGAGCACCGGAAAACTCAAAACGGTGCCCGGGCTCATCTGCTCCCTCTCAGCAAAAAATACTAGAAAAATTTAAAAAATTCCAAATTTTTTTGTGGTGGTAGATAATTTGACGCGTGAGGTGCGCCCCAAAATTCAACTCATTTGGACATCTGAGCAGCTCTCGGCAAAAAAGACAAATCGGGTCAAAACAGTGCGTGAACAGTAAACATTTTTACGGACCCTGATTTTGTCTTTTTTGCCGAGAGCTGCTCAGATGCTCAAATGAGCTGATTTTTGGGGCGCACCCCACGCGTCAAATTAGCTACCACCACAAAAAAAATTGGAATTTTTTGAATTTTTCTAGTATTTTTTTGATTTTTTTTCTAAACGTGGGTGCAGATGAGCCCGGGTGCAGATTAGCCGCACTCTAGGAGCACCCCACTACTTGATTTCTCTTGACATGCAAGCAGGGGCGGAGGCAGTAGGGGGGCGAGCGGGGGCCAGACCCCCCCTATGGATCGGTCGCCCTCGACGAGATGTAGCGGGGGCTAGAACTAATATCAGCCTTAATTACTTCGGCCATTAGGATGGACTAGCACAAATTTATTGAGAAAATTTACAAGCAAAGTGGTGGATTTTTGGGACGCGCTAGAAATGTGGTGGCAATCTAATGTTTGAACTTCAAATGTGGTGGTTTTTTGCAATTCACTTCGAATACTATTTGTCGCATGTTTTGAGTACTAACATTTCTAAGTGCAGGAAGAAAATTTGTCTTGACAGTATTGAGATCCTCAAGCCATGAAACATAATGACTTATCTCCTCGCGGTTTAGTTCAGCTCCGGGACAGTAGTACGTCCTGTCTACCAAGCACCGGACATGTTTGCTTGAATGGAAATAAGCTGTCAATAGAAATTAGTTGTCAACTATTTTTGAATAAACAATATCAAAGACATAAATATGGTTGAGAAACTCACATAATGGTAGAACTGGAGGCGTCTGCACATCGACCCAGATATCTCTATTACCTTCAATATCATCTTCCGGACGAATATCAAAGGTGATAACCATATCAGACACAAATGCATAAGCCTTGCATAGTGCTTGCCAAGTTTTGCATTCAAAATAGGTGTCCGTGTCTGCATTGTATACTTTGGCGTTGAAAGTATAACAATGCTTGGTTTTCAGGTAAACTCTCTTTACCTCCATAGTTTCCATAGCACTGAAACCTATCTTATCGAAGACAAAATTCTTGCATGGCAGGGGATGCACTAGTAGAATAGTGAAAATTAAAAATTATAAGTTGAACCAAATGAAGAATATAGAAGTCATGCTTAATTACGAAAAAAGACTTGTCGTTGTGACTTACTGTATCGAATTCGAAGGTCTCATCCAGCTAGATGCCGAATCGCCTATCATCAACAAGAAAATTTATATCGCACAGACCGCGCTGCTCTTCACAGTATTCGCACATAATGAAATCTTTTTCGTCGTCAGACGACATTTGCTATGTTCATATAGGTGAAACATTAAACGCTTACTAACTCTATTAATTCAACTAATTCAACTACTTCTATTAATTCAACTAGTTCTGTTATTTCAACTAATTCAACTAAGCAGTTACTAAAAATAAACTTGTTCTATTAATATTTTCTTACTAAAATAAACTAGTTCTATTAATTCAACTAATTAATTCAACTAGGAATTTACTAAAAACAAACTACTTCTATTAATTTACTTACTAAAATATATAAATTAGCTATATATAGTAATATTTTAATTAGACCATTAAAGTCTCATATACCTAAATTTTTCTTACTAAAAATAAACAAGTTCTATTAATTCAACTAGTTCAACTAAGCATTTACTAAAAAATAAACTAGTTATATTAATTCAACTAGTTCAAATAATCTCATATACCTAAATTTTCTTACTAAAAATAAACTAGTTCTATTAATTCAACTAGTTCAACTAAGCATTTACTAAAAATAAACTAGTTATATTAATTCAACTAGTTCAAATAATCTCATATACCTAAATTTTCTTACTAAAAATAAACTAGTTCTATTAATTTTCTTACTAAAAATAAACTAGTTATATTAATTCAACTAGTTCAAATCTCATATATATACCTAATTAATATCTAACTAATTCATCTAGCTAACAATGACATTAATATTGAACAACTTTTCTATCTAATTCATCTAACATTAACATTCTAACATTATTATCTGCGTAATTCATCTAACATTAATCTAAACAATAGAAAACAGAAAATAAGTAAAAAAAATGTGTTTGTGTAGTACTGCGTGTGTAGTGTGTGTGTGTGTGTGTGTGTGTGTGTGTGTGTGTGTGTGTGTGTGTCTACGAGCGGGGGGCGGCGGTGTACGGGCAGCGGCGTGAGACAGCGACGCGACGGGGACGACGTGGTCGATG